TGCGTGTTTATAAATCAAGTTGTGGCTTGGTGTCTTTTTTCTCTTGAATGGCTTTGGTGAGTTCTAGTTGTTTTACTGCATAGTTTAATCATTCTCTCCTTCTATCTATCTTAGCAACCTCCTCCTCTAATCCTAACCACCTATCTCTATCCTCACCACACTTCCAAATTGACTAAACATGGTCCATAGTCGCCGTCCCTCTATCAAATCCCTAAGAAAACCCTAAGACCTTGTGAGCACTGTAACTTCATAAAATATGGCCCCCACCTCTTGAGAGGAAGATGAAAATGATAGATCTAGAGATAGTGTGGGAGGTAAAGGATTAGAATTTTTTTGGAAGATAGATTCTAAAGTTTTAAATGACTTGGTCGGGTGACCAGAGGAAAATATGTTGAGATTTTCATACATATTTTATACTTTTTTTGATGATATTGCACTTTAAAGAAAGATATTTTTGATGTTTTATTGCAGGAATGATGAAATAGGGTCATTGGAGCAAAAAGATGAAAAAAAAAACGAATTTGGAGCGAAAATGACCAAAATGTGAAGAATTGAACTAGAGCGCCGACGGCGCCATCGACCCCCCTACGGCGAAATTTTTCTGAGACTCCAGAATTAATTCATTAAGAAGGTCCGCCGACGGCGAGCTCGGCGATTATATCCAACTAGGTTTTCGATGAGGACAAATTTTGAAGGGATGCTTAGGCAACTCTTGGGAAAGCTCATCCACAACTTTAAAAGAAGATTTTGGCCGAAAATTGAGAGAGTCTGGAGAGACTCTAAAAGTTCTAAGAGGAGAGGAGGCTCAAAATTGAAGTGTGAAAAAGTGTAGAGAGTCTAAATTGTGAGGAATTTTTCGAGATATTGTAAAAGTGGAGAGAAAGTGAGAGATTTCTTCCTCCCTGCCGCTTCAAAGAGGAATTCTGTGTTGTAAAGAAATGAAGAGATTCAGAGGAACTTCGAGGAGTTTTCTTGGGGCGAAATTAGAGATAAGTTCATTTATTGTTGTAGTTTGTATGACTTTGTTTTTATATATGAATTCTGAGTTTTGTTGTGTTTTCCCCATGAGATATGAGTAATTTTCTCTATCTTTCTCCTTGTCTTGAGATTTGTGAAATGGTGATTTAAATTGGTGGAGTCATGAAAATGTTAAATAAATTGTGATGATCTTTTCACTTCGATCTTAATTTACTTTCAATTTGGTCAATTGATTAGTTAAAATTTGTTGAGTT